TCCTCCTCCTCCTCCCCTCCTTTTTCCCTCCTCCTCCTCTCCAATCCTCCTCATCCCTCCCTTCCTTCTCCTCCTCCTCCTTCCTCCTACTCCTTTTCTCCTCCTCTCTCCTCCTCCCTCCTCATCCTCCGCACCCTCCTTCTCCTTTACCCTCTTCATCCTTCCTCCTCCTCTCATCCCTCCTCCTCCTCCTACTACTCCTCCTCCTCCTCCTCCTCCTCCTCCACATCCTCCTCCTGCCTCCTATCCTCCTCTCCTCCTTACCCTCCCCTTCCTCCACACCCTCCTCCCTCATCCATCCTCCTCATCCTCCCCTCCCTCTTTTCCTCCTCCTCCTTCCTCCTCCTCCTCCTCCTTTCTCCTCCTCCTCTCCTGGGCTGCTCGTCCATCACTATCCTCATGCGTGCGCGCTCCTCCTCCTCCTCCTCCTCCTCCTCCTCGTCCGCCTCCTTCCCTGGGCAAGGAGGGGTCGACGAGGGGTCGCCAAAGTTATCGGTGAGTGAAGCCTCCGATGTCCTCGGTGGCATCGTGCCCAGAAAGAGGGGAGGCTCTGGCGCGCTGAGTTCGACCGATGCCAGCGACTAGGGCGAGAAGCCCGTGGAAAAAAGCCCGCGGAAGAGAACTTGTCGATACTGGATGCCAGTGCCGCGGGGCTGGCAGCACCATCAGCCAAGAGGTCGATGGCCTCTCTCTCTCTCCCTCTCTCCCTGGGCAGCGCAGCCTGCCGCCATTCTGCCGTGTCGTGCGGCGGGGGGCCCGCGCTCCGGTTGTCAGAGCTCGACGGGGGGGCTCAGATTGCAGCGCTGGCGGCCTGGCATCAGGTGGGGTCATGTCCCCTCACAGGCGGCTTTTGGGGGAAGAATGGAAAATACTCACACCAAAAAAATGCACCAAAGTAGCTTAACTAATCAAAATAATCGTCCCCATATTGTTGTTGACTATGTCTGAATATCCGTCAGGGCTTCGCCCCCTGCCGCCAGCCCCCTCTCTCGGACAATGGGCTACGCAAGAGCTAAATCATGAGGCCTCGGCGCCGCCGTGAAGCAGCATCGGCAAGAGAAAGTGATATGTTATGACTTCGGGGACGCGAACATAGCGGGATACGCGAATAGCGCGTAATTTAAGAGGGTGCATGGTTTCGGGGTCGCAACTATAGCGTAATTGTCGCACGCTTATGCTTCGGAGATGCGAATATTGTATGATTCACGAAGGTTTATGGTTTTGGGCACGCGATTACTGTGTAATTTACGAAGGTGTACGGCTTCGGGGTCGCAGATATTGCGTCATTTACGCAGGCGTATGGATTCGGAGACGCGAATATCGTGTAATGTACGAGGGCTTATGGCTTCGGATACGCGAATATAGTGTAATATGCGAAGGTGTATGGCTTCGGGAACGCGAATATTAAGTAATTGTCAATGGTTTTCTGTATCGGGAAATGCTGCGTAATTTACAAAGGTCTATGGCTTCGGGAACGCGAAGATCAAATGATTTACGTACGCTTGTGGCCTCAGGAACGCAAGCATTGCGTAATTTAGAAAGGTTTATGGCTTCGGGGGCACGAATATGGTGTATTTCGGGAGGGTGTATGGCTTCGGGGACGCGACTATTGTGTGATTCATGAGAGTTTATGGCCTCGGAGACGCGAGCATTGCATACTTTACGAGTGGTTATAGCCTCGGGGGCGCGAATTTCATATATATATAGTATATATACTATATATAACGTGTCCCACGCCCCCCCCCCCCAGAAATTCTGAGAACCCTCCCAGGAGACGCTAGGTTTGCTGGTTTTCGGCTCCCCCCCCCCTCGCGCGGTTTACAACAAGGATCAGTAAGCAGCATAAAGCAATATTGTAACAGTGGAAACTGGAAACCTGATCTGGCGCAGGGAACAGCAAACCCTGGGCCTACAGCCTGGTAGCCCCACGCCCGAGCCGGCTCGACTCGCCGCTGGCGCCTTCGCCTGCGGCTGCGACAAAAAATCCCCACCAGCTCATTCAGAAACGATCAGCAGGGGCCGAGCTGGGGCCCCAGAAATTCGGAGGCCCGACGCTCGAAAGTGTCCCTCCTCGGGCCGCGATGGTCGAGGGCAGATTTGGCACTGACCCCCACCACCATCAGGACCAGTATCCACCACCACCGCCAGCACCACCACCATCGCCCAGGCCTCCCAAATGGGTTCGGAGTAAAAGTGTCGAAGGATTGCGCCGCATCGGCGATGCGGCTCGATGTGGAGCCCGACGTTATCAACGTCGACGTCGCCGATGCATCGCCGACGTCATTGATGCTTCGGCGATGCGGCGCGATCCTCCGACCCCAGTTGGAAGGCCTCTAGAGACAGAGAATGGCGCAGCAGCCAAGCCGTCTTTCGGTCCATTATGAGGACAGAGTCTGTCTCTGCATCGACGACCCGTTCGAGAAGAATCGCACGCTCGGGACCAGCTTCTGGGGACAGGAGGTCATCTCCTGGGAGATGCGCCGCGGGTTGAGCGCGTTGAAGCACGCAGGGCCAGGTTTCGTGAACGAGCTCTTCCGAGAGAGAAGTGACACCGTGGACAGCAAGAAAAAGATCCGCGTGCCACGGGAATTCAGCCCCATCCCTTACCAGTACAGTGCGCCTGGCACAGGAGACGTGATGGTCTGTATGAGCCGCGCGATCAAGGCAGATTTGGCTGGTAAGGTGATTGGACAAGGCGGCAAAAAGATCGAAAGGATACGTGCTCGATCCAACATCGAGGAGTTCAATGTGCGCGACTCGCGCCTGCATGTCAGGGGTACGCCAGAGTCCGTTGACCAGGCTCTGAACATGGCGGATGCGTTGTTGGCCTCTTGCAAGCCGCGCGTGCCCCAGGAAGCCCGGCGCGCCTTGCGCGGCGGGCAGCCCGAGCCGATATCGAACGCCGGATGCGCAAGCGGCGGCGCCTCCGCCAGCTCGCCTGGGCGTCCGCGGGCACCGCCCCCGCCACCTGTCTACGCTGCGCCTGCGCTGCTCGCCTTCCGGCCACCTCTGCTGCCGTCGCAGCAGCTCGCGGCGCCGCTGGCGCCAGCGCCACCTGGAAGCCAGCCTGCTGGCGCATTCCAGCCCGTGCCAGCGTTGGACGCATCGCAAAGGCAAGGAGGATTGCTTCGGGCTGGGGCCACGGTGCAGTCCGTGCCAGCCCCAGGTTCGCCAGCATGCATGACCTCCCTCGGCCTATCGCAGCTCTTCCTGCGGACGCCCCTCGAACACCCGCATCCCGGCCACCCGCCTCTCGCCCCTCAAGCTCCCGCCCCCTGCCAACCCGCCGGCACCTTCCTGTCGTTCAGCCCACCGCGCACGCCGCCCGGCTTGCTGCAGGCCAGGGCAGCTGACCCCCACACGGCCCCAGCAGCCCTTGCGGCGCCCTACCTGCCGCCGCGGCCGCCTGCGGCGGCTGCCGCAGGCGACGCTGTGCCCACTGCCCCCGGCGTGGCGCCCCGCGCTGGCGGGGAGCAGACGGCTCTCCCTGGCAGGCTCGACGCGCCGTGGGCGCCGACCGCGCCGGAGGCCGCGCCCGGCAGGCCGCCCGCGGCGGCCGCCGCCCCGCCCACGCCCGGCTCCCCTGCCGTGGCGCCCAGGGCCGCCGCGGAGCAGCAGCGGCAGCAGCAGCAGGCCGCGCCCGGCGGGCCCGACGCGCTGGACGCCCGAGGCCCCAGGCCCCGGAGATGCGACGCCGCAGAAAGAGCGCAGCACACCGCGAGAAAGTTCGGAGGGCCAGAGCCCTCCCCGGAGGTCCAGCGGACTGCCAAGCTCCATACGGAGGTTTCTCGCCGTTTTCGGCTTCTGGGGGCCCTCGCAGGGCCCCAGGATTGTCACAAGACGACTCGGGATGAAAAGCCAGTCCCAGGGAAAGGGTCGGGACGTGAAAAAAAAACAGCACGTCGGACCTCCGGGTAGATCCCATCTTCCCGCGGCATCTCTCGAGCCCGATCGGTCTTTGAGGGCCACGGGGCCCGAAATTTTCTGAAGGCACCCGGCGCGAAAGAGTTTGTTTGGAGGCGCCCAGATCCCAGACCCCTGGAGTCATGTTTTTTTGGGAGGAGGAGGAGGAGGAGGAGCAGGAGGAGGATGGGGAGGGGGAGGGAGGGAGAGAGAGAGGGGAGGGCGAGAGGGAGAGAGGGAGGAGGAGCCATAACGCCGACCCCCAAAGGTCTGGACCCTTTCCCCGGGACCGGCTTTTTAACCTGAGTCGTCGTGTGTCGGTCCAAGGGCCCGGCGAGGGCCTCGAGGCCGACTACTAGCAAAACCCGTCCGTCGTGATCTTTGCATGACGTTGGGGGTGGGGTCTGGGATCTCAGGCTCTGGTATGTCCCTGGTCGGATACAAGCCTAATCTGTCTCATTCCCGCTTCATCCAGCTGAATCCTGCTGAACTGAATCCCGGACCCAATCCGGCCTGATCCGGCTCAGTGGCCCCCCCATCGGGCTGAATAGTTTTCAAGTCGTTCTGGCGAAGACTTCTCAGGACCCAGACCCCCGACGTCATGATTTTTCCAAAACGCCGTTCCCCAGAGGTCTCGACTCCTTCCCTGGGGCTGGTTTCTCATCCCGAGCCGTTTTTTGTTATGGCCCCGAGGCCTGGTGAGGACCCCCAGAGGCCGAAAATAACAAAAAACCTCCCGTCGTGATTTTTTCATAGCCCGAGGGGGTCTGGACGCTGCACTGCATTGCACTTGCCATACGCCGTCCGGCGCGGTTGGGAATGTCGGCCTTCAAGCGTTCACAGCCTATGCGCCTGCTAAAAAAGGCAATACAGGGAGGAGAAGGAGGAGGAGAAGGAGGAGGAGGAGGAGGCGGAGGAGGGGTAGGAGGAGAAGGCGGAGGAGGAGAGGAGGAGGAGGAGGAGAGGAGAGGAGGAGAACGAGGACGAGGGGAGGAGGAGGAGGAGGAGGAGGATGAGGAGGCAAGGAGGAGGAGGGGGAGGAAGAGACGGGGTCTGGGGAGGTGCCTCCAAAACCCTCGCGGGGCCCGCCCGGCCAGGCGGAGCGCGGCCGCGGAGCCCGCCGCACCCGCGCCGCCGCCCGCCGTGCCGCCCGCCGCGCCGCCCGCGGGCCCCCGCCGGGCGCGCCCGCGCCGCGGACTGCCCCGCTGCTCGCCAGCCGCGGCGGAACGGGGCCGCTCGCGCGGGCAGCCCGCGCTCCGCCGCGCGGGGGGCGTGCGGCAGCCCTCGCACCACGCTTGCAGTCCGCACAGCCCGCGCAGGACTCGGGCTCCACCCTCCACCTTCCTCCCACCTCCTCCGCGCAGTCCTCCTCCTCATCCACCTCCTCCCCACCTCCTCCTCATCCTCCCCTCCTCCACTCCTCCTCCTCATCCTCCTCCTCCTCCTCCACCTCCTCCTCCTCCTCCTCCCTCCTCCTCCTCCTCCTCCTCCTCCTCCTCATCTCCTCCCTCCTCTCCTCCTCCTCCTCCTCCAACTCCTACCTCCTCCTCCTCCTCTCCTCCTCCTCTCTTCTCCTCTCCTCTCCTCCTCCTCCTCCCTCCTCCTCTCCTCCTCCTCCTCCCTCCTCCTCCTCCTCCGCCTCCTCCTCCGCCTCCTCCTCGGTCCGCCCCCTCCCAGCCTCCCCCCCCGCTTATCGGGGCGGCAAAGAAGGGGGTGATGACTGCGGGGGATAGCATGGCGTGGGCCATGTTATTTCCCTAGATGTCATGGCGCCTCTTCTTATTTCATTACGTCCGTGGCCCCCCCTTTGGCCGCGCACATGCCGCTGGCCATGATTTGCATACACCCCTCTTGGACTCCCCCCTCTTGGCCACCCCCGAGCTTAGCTGCCTCGATACGCCCGCTTTGAAACACAACACGTACCGTGCTCAAAGCGTCCGTATCAGTACGTTGCGTGTTGGCTCCGCGTATTGGCGCACGTTCTGGCTACCGTATCGCGTCAGACTTCCGTGTTCAGTGTACGTGTTGAGCTACGTATCAATACGCTACGTGTTGCATTTCGTATCGGGGCAGCTAAGCCCTCTCCAGATCTGGAAAAAAACACGGCGGGAGGTGCTTCGCTGTTTTCGGCATTTGGGGGCCCTCACTGGGCCTCGGGGCCGTCAGAAAACGGCTCACGATGGAAAACCCATGCCGGGCAATGGGTCGAGACCTCTGGGGGCCGGCGTTATGAAAAATCATGATGTCGGGGATTTGGGATCGTTGCCCCATATTCCTCCGCCTACTGATCGTCCTTGCCCCCCCGAAGGCGTCTCTTCACTGGCCAGGTGGAGCCCTCCACGGGCTGGTTGCGACCCGTCGCTGGCTGATTTGTTCACCGCCTGATTGGATGTTTCACCGGCCACGTCTTTGAATTAAAAGCAGGCCCGAACGGCCAGCCAATGAAGGGTCCTATCTGGCTGGTGACGGGTCCCATCTGGGCGACGTACAGTTGGGGCGCTGAAGAAGTAACCTTTTCCGTTGGGGAGGGGCTCGGTGTTCCTTGATTGTTTTGCAGTTTGCCTTGGGGGTTCCTAAGGTTTTCCAATCAAAGTTTGACTTACGGGACAAAGGGGCCTCGTTCCTTATTTAGGGTTCCTTAGGTCAACGCCCCGACTGTAAGAAGAGGGGTGCCATTGCGCGGATGTTGGCGCGTAAGGTTCCCGCGCGAGGTGGCGTGTAAGCACCCTCTTCTCCAACCCGTGTGCCACGCCGGCGGCCCGCGCATGCCACATGCTGAAGGTCGCGACGTCCTCTCGCGCAGGACCCGTTCCCAGACATGCGATGTTCAGGAGAAGAAAAACCACACAGACACAACCAGGAAAATATTGGAAATATGGGAAGTGGGGGGGAAGACAAAAAACCAGGAAATATGGGAAAAATATGGGGGATAGTTTGATTTGTGTGTATTTATTTGTGTGTCCCAGGGCCCCTTCAGATGTTTTGTTTCGGTACGCAGCCCCCGAAGTCCCGACCCTTCCCCCAGGGCCGTTTCTTCATCCCGAGCCGTTTTTAGACGGTCCCGAGTCCTGCGCGGTAAGGACCGCCAGAGGCCGAGAGTCGGGAAACATGTCCGCCCCTTCTCATCAGGACGTCGCATGTCTGGGCTTCTCTCCTCGCGCGCAGGCCGAGCCCGCCGCCGCTGCGACGGGGGCGTTTCTGGCGCCGCTGGAGGACGCGGGGCAAAAATGCCCGGGCCATGGGGGCGCGGCCTCCAAAGCAGGCAGGGTGCGGCGCGTTCTGTGCCGCTGGGCGCCGTGCCCTGCGGGCTTCTGGTGGCCGCTTTCG